GTGTGTGTGTGTGTGTGTGTGTGTGTGTGTGTGTGTGTGTGTGTGTGTGTGTGTGTGTGTGTGTGTGTGTGTGTGTGTGTGTGTGTGTGTGTGTGTGTGTGTGTGTGTGTGTGTGTGTGTGTGTGTGTGTGTGTGTGTGTGTGTGTGTGTGTGTGTGTGTGTGTGTGTGTGTGTGTGTGTGTGTGTGTGTGTGTGTGTGTGTGTGTGTGTGTGTGTGTGTGTGTGTGTGTGTGTGTGTGTGTGTGTGTGTGTGTGTGTGTGTGTGTGTGTGTGTGTGTGTGTGTGTGTGTGTGTGTGTGTGTGTGTGTGTGTGTGTGTGTGTGTGTGTGTGTGTGTGTGTGTGTGTGTGTGTGTGTGTGTGTGTGTGTGTGTGTGTGTGTGTGTGTGTGTGTGTGTGTGTGTGTGTGTGTGTGTGTGTGTGTGTGTGTGTGTGTGTGTGTGTGTGTGTGTGTGTGTGTGTGTGTGTGTGTGTGTGTGTGTGTGTGTGTGTGTGTGTGTGTGTGTGTGTGTGTGTGTGTGTGTGTGTGTGTGTGTGTGTGTGTGTGTGTGTGTGTGTGTGTGTGTGTGTGTGTGTGTGTGTGTGTGTGTGTGTGTGTGTGTGTGTGTGTGTGTGTGTGTGTGTGTGTGTGTGTGTGTGTGTGTGTGTGTGTGTGTGTGTGTGTGTGTGTGTGTGTGTGTGTGTGTGTGTGTGTGTGTGTGTGTGTGTGTGTGTGTGTGTGTGTGTGTGTGTGTGTGTGTGTGTGTGTGTGTGTGTGTGTGTGTGTGTGTGTGTGTGTGTGTGTGTGTGTGTGTGTGTGTGTGTGTGTGTGTGTGTGTGTGTGTGTGTGTGTGTGTGTGTGTGTGTGTGTGTGTGTGTGTGTGTGTGTGTGTGTGTGTGTGTGTGTGTGTGTGTGTGTGTGTGTGTGTGTGTGTGTGTGTGTGTGTGTGTGTGTGTGTGTGTGTGTGTGTGTGTGTGTGTGTGTGTGTGTGTGTGTGTGTGTGTGTGTGTGTGTGTGTGTGTGTGTGTGTGTGTGTGTGTGTGTGTGTGTGTGTGTGTGTGTGTGTGTGTGTGTGTGTGTGTGTGTGTGTGTGTGTGTGTGTGTGTGTGTGTGTGTGTGTGTGTGTGTGTGTGTGTGTGTGTGTGTGTGTGTGTGTGTGTGTGTGTGTGTGTGTGTGTGTGTGTGTGTGTGTGTGTGTGTGTGTGTGTGTGTGTGTGTGTGTGTGTGTGTGTGTGTGTGTGTGTGTGTGTGTGTGTGTGTGTGTGTGTGTGTGTGTGTGTGTGTGTGTGTGTGTGTGTGTGTGTGTGTGTGTGTGTGTGTGTGTGTGTGTGTGTGTGTGTGTGTGTGTGTGTGTGTGTGTGTGTGTGTGTGTGTGTGTGTGTGTGTGTGTGTGTGTGTGTGTGTGTGTGTGTGTGTGTGTGTGTGTGTGTGTGTGTGTGTGTGTGTGTGTGTGTGTGTGTGTGTGTGTGTGTGTGTGTGTGTGTGTGTGTGTGTGTGTGTGTGTGTGTGTGTGTGTGTGTGTGTGTGTGTGTGTGTGTGTGTGTGTGTGTGTGTGTGTGTGTGTGTGTGTGTGTGTGTGTGTGTGTGTGTGTGTGTGTGTGTGTGTGTGTGTGTGTGTGTGTGTGTGTGTGTGTGTGTGTGTGTGTGTGTGTGTGTGTGTGTGTGTGTGTGTGTGTGTGTGTGTGTGTGTGTGTGTGTGTGTGTGTGTGTGTGTGTGTGTGTGTGTGTGTGTGTGTGTGTGTGTGTGTGTGTGTGTGTGTGTGTGTGTGTGTGTGTGTGTGTGTGTGTGTGTGTGTGTGTGTGTGTGTGTGTGTGTGTGTGTGTGTGTGTGTGTGTGTGTGTGTGTGTGTGTGTGTGTGTGTGTGTGTGTGTGTGTGTGTGTGTGTGTGTGTGTGTGTGTGTGTGTGTGTGTGTGTGTGTGTGTGTGTGTGTGTGTGTGTGTGTGTGTGTGTGTGTGTGTGTGTGTGTGTGTGTGTGTGTGTGTGTGTGTGTGTGTGTGTGTGTGTGTGTGTGTGTGTGTGTGTGTGTGTGTGTGTGTGTGTGTGTGTGTGTGTGTGTGTGTGTGTGTGTGTGTGTGTGTGTGTGTGTGTGTGTGTGTGTGTGTGTGTGTGTGTGTGTGTGTGTGTGTGTGTGTGTGTGTGTGTGTGTGTGTGTGTGTGTGTGTGTGTGTGTGTGTGTGTGTGTGTGTGTGTGTGTGTGTGTGTGTGTGTGTGTGTGTGTGTGTGTGTGTGTGTGTGTGTGTGTGTGTGTGTGTGTGTGTGTGTGTGTGTGTGTGTGTGTGTGTGTGTGTGTGTGTGTGTGTGTGTGTGTGTGTGTGTGTGTGTGTGTGTGTGTGTGTGTGTGTGTGTGTGTGTGTGTGTGTGTGTGTGTGTGTGTGTGTGTGTGTGTGTGTGTGTGTGTGTGTGTGTGTGTGTGTGTGTGTGTGTGTGTGTGTGTGTGTGTGTGTGTGTGTGTGTGTGTGTGTGTGTGTGTGTGTGTGTGTGTGTGTGTGTGTGTGTGTGTGTGTGTGTGTGTGTGTGTGTGTGTGTGTGTGTGTGTGTGTGTGTGTGTGTGTGTGTGTGTGTGTGTGTGTGTGTGTGTGTGTGTGTGTGTGTGTGTGTGTGTGTGTGTGTGTGTGTGTGTGTGTGTGTGTGTGTGTGTGTGTGTGTGTGTGTGTGTGTGTGTGTGTGTGTGTGTGTGTGTGTGTGTGTGTGTGTGTGTGTGTGTGTGTGTGTGTGTGTGTGTGTGTGTGTGTGTGTGTGTGTGTGTGTGTGTGTGTGTGTGTGTGTGTGTGTGTGTGTGTGTGTGTGTGTGTGTGTGTGTGTGTGTGTGTGTGTGTGTGTGTGTGTGTGTGTGTGTGTGTGTGTGTGTGTGTGTGTGTGTGTGTGTGTGTGTGTGTGTGTGTGTGTGTGTGTGTGTGTGTGTGTGTGTGTGTGTGTGTGTGTGTGTGTGTGTGTGTGTGTGTGTGTGTGTGTGTGTGTGTGTGTGTGTGTGTGTGTGTGTGTGTGTGTGTGTGTGTGTGTGTGTGTGTGTGTGTGTGTGTGTGTGTGTGTGTGTGTGTGTGTGTGTGTGTGTGTGTGTGTGTGTGTGTGTGTGTGTGTGTGTGTGTGTGTGTGTGTGTGTGTGTGTGTGTGTGTGTGTGTGTGTGTGTGTGTGTGTGTGTGTGTGTGTGTGTGTGTGTGTGTGTGTGTGTGTGTGTGTGTGTGTGTGTGTGTGTGTGTGTGTGTGTGTGTGTGTGTGTGTGTGTGTGTGTGTGTGTGTGTGTGTGTGTGTGTGTGTGTGTGTGTGTGTGTGTGTGTGTGTGTGTGTGTGTGTGTGTGTGTGTGTGTGTGTGTGTGTGTGTGTGTGTGTGTGTGTGTGTGTGTGTGTGTGTGTGTGTGTGTGTGTGTGTGTGTGTGTGTGTGTGTGTGTGTGTGTGTGTGTGTGTGTGTGTGTGTGTGTGTGTGTGTGTGTGTGTGTGTGTGTGTGTGTGTGTGTGTGTGTGTGTGTGTGTGTGTGTGTGTGTGTGTGTGTGTGTGTGTGTGTGTGTGTGTGTGTGTGTGTGTGTGTGTGTGTGTGTGTGTGTGTGTGTGTGTGTGTGTGTGTGTGTGTGTGTGTGTGTGTGTGTGTGTGTGTGTGTGTGTGTGTGTGTGTGTGTGTGTGTGTGTGTGTGTGTGTGTGTGTGTGTGTGTGTGTGTGTGTGTGTGTGTGTGTGTGTGTGTGTGTGTGTGTGTGTGTGTGTGTGTGTGTGTGTGTGTGTGTGTGTGTGTGTGTGTGTGTGTGTGTGTGTGTGTGTGTGTGTGTGTGTGTGTGTGTGTGTGTGTGTGTGTGTGTGTGTGTGTGTGTGTGTGTGTGTGTGTGTGTGTGTGTGTGTGTGTGTGTGTGTGTGTGTGTGTGTGTGTGTGTGTGTGTGTGTGTGTGTGTGTGTGTGTGTGTGTGTGTGTGTGTGTGTGTGTGTGTGTGTGTGTGTGTGTGTGTGTGTGTGTGTGTGTGTGTGTGTGTGTGTGTGTGTGTGTGTGTGTGTGTGTGTGTGTGTGTGTGTGTGTGTGTGTGTGTGTGTGTGTGTGTGTGTGTGTGTGTGTGTGTGTGTGTGTGTGTGTGTGTGTGTGTGTGTGTGTGTGTGTGTGTGTGTGTGTGTGTGTGTGTGTGTGTGTGTGTGTGTGTGTGTGTGTGTGTGTGTGTGTGTGTGTGTGTGTGTGTGTGTGTGTGTGTGTGTGTGTGTGTGTGTGTGTGTGTGTGTGTGTGTGTGTGTGTGTGTGTGTGTGTGTGTGTGTGTGTGTGTGTGTGTGTGTGTGTGTGTGTGTGTGTGTGTGTGTGTGTGTGTGTGTGTGTGTGTGTGTGTGTGTGTGTGTGTGTGTGTGTGTGTGTGTGTGTGTGTGTGTGTGTGTGTGTGTGTGTGTGTGTGTGTGTGTGTGTGTGTGTGTGTGTGTGTGTGTGTGTGTGTGTGTGTGTGTGTGTGTGTGTGTGTGTGTGTGTGTGTGTGTGTGTGTGTGTGTGTGTGTGTGTGTGTGTGTGTGTGTGTGTGTGTGTGTGTGTGTGTGTGTGTGTGTGTGTGTGTGTGTGTGTGTGTGTGTGTGTGTGTGTGTGTGTGTGTGTGTGTGTGTGTGTGTGTGTGTGTGTGTGTGTGTGTGTGTGTGTGTGTGTGTGTGTGTGTGTGTGTGTGTGTGTGTGTGTGTGTGTGTGTGTGTGTGTGTGTGTGTGTGTGTGTGTGTGTGTGTGTGTGTGTGTGTGTGTGTGTGTGTGTGTGTGTGTGTGTGTGTGTGTGTGTGTGTGTGTGTGTGTGTGTGTGTGTGTGTGTGTGTGTGTGTGTGTGTGTGTGTGTGTGTGTGTGTGTGTGTGTGTGTGTGTGTGTGTGTGTGTGTGTGTGTGTGTGTGTGTGTGTGTGTGTGTGTGTGTGTGTGTGTGTGTGTGTGTGTGTGTGTGTGTGTGTGTGTGTGTGTGTGTGTGTGTGTGTGTGTGTGTGTGTGTGTGTGTGTGTGTGTGTTCGTGTGTGTGTGTGTGTGTGTGTGTGTGTGTGTGTGTGTGTGAGAGAGAGAGAGAGAGAGAGAGAGAGAGAGAGAGGAGGATGAGGAGTTGATTTGTGTCTAAACACATCCTTTTCTGATCTGTTGTGTTGAAAAAGTTGAAAGATCTCTGAATATACACTTACCAATATATACATTTACTTTCCTTTTTCAGGGTTCTGTTTAGCTTGAGGTACAGATCTCCAATCTCTTCACTTTCTCTACCTTCAAATCTTGTGTGTATAAATATTTGGATTTATTTGTGTATATTTCATGTTTGTTTATATGCCAAGCTCAAGTTAAAGTTCTCCATTTCTTGTTCTCTGTTAGATTTCTATTTTTTGTCCCTCTTTTCCTTGGGTTTTAGACATAAATAAGAAACTATAGACAAACGTTTCCAAAGATATGGATCACCTTTAAGAATTTGCAATTCTTGGGTTGAATTAGGTGCATGCATGATGGTCATTAGCTAATAAAAGAATGCTGATTAAAGTTTAAAGGATATTTTCTGCGGCTTTTTTCACTCATGTCCAAGCCATAGAAGAGACTACCACGCTTTGTATTTACTTGGATTTTAGATTCCACTAATGCTTTTGATGTCTAATTTTTTTATTCACCTAGTGAATCTTTAACTTCTCCTGTAGCCTTAGTACTTGTTGAGAATGGTACTTTTTTTAAATTGAATATTGCATTCTCTTGGGTGCTTAATTTTTTATTCACTTGGTAAATCTGTTAAATGTGTGTTGTAGCACTAGCACTAAGTGGTAATTTTTTTAAATTGAATATTTCTTTCTCTTGGGTGCTTAATTTTTTATTCACTTGGTACATCTGTTAAATGTGTGTTGTAGCACTAGCATCATTGAGTGGTAATTTTTTAAATTTAAGGTTGCTTGCTCCCTTGATTTGCACACACAGTTTTTTATAGCAATGCTAGGTTTGACTGTTCTTAAAATATTTGTGACGTGTATTCAGTTTCTTGGTCTATATTTCGGAAAAACTTTTATATAATAATTTCACGTTTGATTGATCCTTAACTTGCCCTCTGTACATGTTCATGGGCTTTTCAATGCTTTACTTTCCCCTCTCTATACGGGTTCCACGGTAATCCATTCTATTTCATGTTCATAGTTGTTTCACAAAGTTGGCTTTCAATTTCAAACTTAGGTTGCTTGTTTATGCTAAAACAGTCCTGCCTTTTATTTGAAGTTCTGTTCTGTTGCAGCACTTTTGATTCTTATGGATCAGTTTTATTTATTAAAGGTTGAGTTCATTCCAAAATTTAGTGTGAGGGCAATCTGGCAGAGATGGCGTGAATCATATCCGAAAGATGGGACTAAGGCGGATGATGCTATAATTGTGTTTCCGGGAGTAAGTTGGGTATTTTATGGCATGAATTAAAATACTATGTTCTGTGTGGTTCAGTGATTGTCGTTTATATTTGCCAATTTTCTCACTACCTATGGCCCAGTTTGGGGACTTTGTTTTTTTGGTTTTTTCGGTTTGGTTTTTTCTCATAAGGGAACACTTGGGACAAAGTAATATTTTATCTAAAAAAACTGTGAAGCATTTATGGCCCACAATGTGTTGATTCCAGATTTCATAGGATAGTCGTAATGTTATTATTGCAATGCTTTTTGTAATATGTAGGTTCCAACTATGTATCCTCGATTGATACAAGGTTATGAAGCAATGGATCCAGAATTACAAGAGGCTTATGCCTCAGCTGCGAGCAAGTTGCGTCTCGTGGTAATCAGCTTGCAACACCTTCTTTCTTAGGAAATTTGATTACAAAATTTAAATAGGAATTAAGGATTAATATTAAGTGGTTTTTTCCCTTTTAAATTTTATTTTTTTAATATAAAATTGTAACTCCTTTATTGTGCAATACTGTTCCGTACAATCTCGCTCTCCTGTTCTCCTATACGGCTACACCTGAACAGAATGGTGAATGCTAAAATAGTGGCCTAATTGTTTTTTCCCCTAATTCTAGATGTGTGGCTCCTCTACACTCCCTTATCCTGTCATGCAACAGTGGGAAACCATAACTAAACATCGCCTTTTAGAACGATATGGTATGACTGAGGTGTGTACTAGCTGTCTGCATGAAATCCTTTTTGCAGGCTATAAGCTTTGAAGGGAAGAGCATTTAAAATTTTATTTATTAGGAGATATTCTGGCTTTGTTTTTTTAATTATTTGATATTTGTAGTTTGTGATGGCAATTTCTATTCCCTTGAGAGGCATAAGGAAAGGAGGCACTGTTGGCAAACCAGTTCCAAGTGTGCAGGTTAGTGAGATTCATAATAATATAATGATGATGCTTCAAACTATTTTAGTTTATGCAGACAAGCTGCTGACAATAGAGTCCAAACAAATTGTTTTTTTTAAAGGGTTTGCAGAAACAGGACACCTTTTGATCTTCAAATAAATCTGTGTAAACTATGTAGATGAGTTTGTATGAAGATCTTGTAGCAGCTTGGGTACCTGCGAAACATGAATGGCTGTGGCTATGCCCTTTAGGTCAAGAACTTGTCAATAGATTGGGACGGCAAAAGATGTTCAACTATTGTGCCTGTATGTTGAACATTGTTCCATTATCACAATGATATGAGCAGTGTTATTTCTAACTCTGTGTTTTCTTTTGTTAATGCTGCTTATTCTTATTGGCTGAGGTTTCAGCTTATATTGTTCATTTTAGTGAACAACTTTGTGTATGCTGGCTAGAGCCATGGGAATCATGACACAACTTGATTCAAATGATTCTTACAAAAACTAACAATATTTGGTTGAATTCTAATTTATATAGATAGTTTTTTGGTTAGCCTATTTAAATAATAAATGACTTATTAATTCTTTGTTTGTTCAAGAAAAACTCGATTGTATGTTTCAAAGCATTTATAGAACTATATTGGCGGTGTCTGGGAAAGATTTTTTTGTGGTTTTTTTTTGTTTTTTTTCACTAAAAAACAAAGTAGTTACAAAACCAAAAAAAAAAACAAATCCAAACAAAATATCACATCAAACTTCATAATCATTTCACTTTTTCTCTCAAAAACATCACATTCAACCACAAAAAAAAAAAACCCAACTATTTTCCCAAACAAAAAAAAAAATTTCTCCAATAATATCCTACAACTAAAAAAACCTACAAAAAAAACCCACTTCCCAAACACCCACATTGTATTCGATGAGTTGAGAACTTGGACTTGCGATAACTGGCTTTTACCACACCATTGCCTCCAATCCATGAGTTAGAGATCAAAATTTCTTTAGATAGTATTCATAAGTTGTTTAAAATTTGTACATTAGCTTATAGGTTGGTTATGTTATGCTTCTTGGTCTATTTTTATTTAGGCTGATAACTTGTTCGTGTTTGGTTTTCCTCCCAGATATATGTTCCAACAAATCCTTGTGGTGCGGAGTCCTTTCCTCCAGCAATTGTAGTCTCTCAGTCAGATTTTTATTTGCGAAGGTTATGGGTTGAACCCAGTGAGGTATGTTGTTCAACACAAGTAACTGTGTTATAGTGCTGGAGCTTGCAATTATTTACCTATTTTAGATGGTCAATCATTTTAAAGTTTTTAATTTCTTGTTAACTCTCCAACTCAACTATGACCATATATGATTTTGGAAGTCCTAATAGAGTAGACATTGTTGTTTAGCGAATAAATATCAAAAAATAAAAAAATTGAAAAATTCATCACATATCTAAGACCATGGCATATTCTACTTAATAATTCTTTGACTAAAGTTTTCTCATCTTTGAAATGTTCTTGTTAAAGGCTTAATGGATATTACTCTCATCATCGTTTTTTGAGATTGTGTGGAACCTATTTGCGAAACTGTACTTTTCAGGTTTTGGTTATTTTTTAATGTGTGATACTTTTTAGGCTTAATGGGTTGGCTTCTTGTAGATTTAATTGGTTTATCATTGTTGGTGACAAGAGAGTGAGAAACCCTCACATCATAAAATACTAAAAATTGGAATAAGTGCAAAAAGAAACCGTCTCATACTATGACATTTCCATTGATTTGGCATGTGTGTAACTACTCTTATAACTCCAATTATCTTATAGAGAACGTTCTGTAACTTTCATGATTTGACAATGAAATCGAAATACTTGGTAACATTCACAGTTGGCTTGGATCAGAGGAACAACATTGATGCAGCAGTTAAAAAGGTTACACAAATGGACCATTCTATTATATGTATTATTTTTATGATGTTGCAAGTAGAGGTCTGTAATCTTATTTTATTTTTTGATAGTTTTCTGAGGATTTTCAAATTATGCTTTTTCATTATGATAGCTGGACAAGTGAATGGGATCAATTTGAGTGGTCAAAGAGGGCCAACCATGTCAGTGTAAGAAAGCAAACAAAATAGTAAGAGGCTTTAGTATTTTACATATTTTTGGTGTTATACCACATTTTCCACTATACCATGTTTGAAAAGAGAACTCATAAAACAGAGATATGATACCCTTTCTTTATTGGGAAAGGAAATAACGACTGATTTTTTGTTTATTAATATTGCATCCTTTCGTAGATTCAAATGACCATTATAAGATTTGCTACCAGTTGTGTTTCTGCTGAGGAATTGGTGGAAAAAATTTATCAAAAACGAGAGGATGGGAGTTATTGAGGAGTTGGTGGAAAAAATTCATCAAAAATTTATCAGATTGAGGAATTGCCACTGCAAGAATTTCATGGCCACACTAGTGATGTCTTGGATCTGGCCTAGTCCGAATCTAATGTGAGTTATTGCTTGCTTGCAAAATACCTTTTAAATTTTCCCATTTGTTTAAAAAAACATAATGTTTTTGGGGTTAATTTGTTGCAGTGTCTTCTTTCATCATCGAAGGATAAAACTGTTCGTCTATGGCAAGTGGGCTGCAATGAATGTATTAGTGTTTTCCAACACTGACTATGGTTAGTATTGTTGGCTATTTGTAATTCCTATATAAACTATAGATCATAATATGTATATGTATCTTGTTGAATCTATTGTCTTTTGAGTGTTACTAAAAATTAATATATTGTTTATGTTATCTTTATGGTATCAGTGACATGCATTCAGTTCAATCCAGCCAATGAAAATTACTTCATGAGTGGCTCTATAGACAAAAAAGCTCGAATTTGGGGAGTGATTGAGAGACAAGTTGTTGATTGGGCTGATGTGAGAGATGTAGTAACTGTTATATGTTACCACCCAGATGGCAAAGTATAGCTGCAAAACGCTTGATTTCCATCTCGTGAATTATTTAATACTACTTTTACTTTGTGCTTTACTAATAATATATTGCAGCTTATGAAGTTCACTCTAACGATGTTTCTTTTGTATCTTTTTTCTTTATCAATGCAGGTCTTTATAGTGGGCTCTGTCATCGGCACCTGCCGGTTTTATGGAGCATCAGGTACTACTTACTTTCCCAACTATGTTTCTCGGCAGTTAATTCTATCAATTTGTTTCTTTCTGCATATATTGTCTAATTTGTTTTGTTTTCTTGGTTGGTGCAGATGGAAATCTCCAACTAACTACAGTGATAAATTTCTGGGGTAGAAATAAATCCTCCAGCAACAAAAGTACTTATATGTATAATTAGTTTGAATTACATCTTTTGTGCCGATCTGTTTTGTAATAACTTTCAACTTACTACTAGGCACTAGTTTAACTTTATTTCATCTTGGAATTGAAATATTTTTGCATATTGAGAAGTATGAATTGATCTAGCATTATGTTACCTAAATTTAGTCAATATATTGAATATTTTTCAGCTTTATTATAGGTATTTTTTTGATTAAATCTCATAGAATTAGCACAATTTCAAAAAAAAAATTCAATAATGAAGCTATGATAGCATTTTTAAACGCCATTGTAGAATAAAGTCAGCGGTTATATTTTTCAAATAGAAAAGATCTATCACGGCGTTTTTAGAACGTCGCTAAATATGGCGTGTATCATTATGCAGCACAATTAGCAGCATTTTTGCAAACGCCGCCTATACTAATTAGCGACGCTGTTAAAGCGACATAAAGCTACAGCGACGGCCACATCTTCGACATTTGATACTAAACGTCACAAAAAAAATTAGCGTCGATTTCGATAATTATAGCGGCGTGTTTTAAACGCCACTAAAAGTCTAATTTCCAGCTTATATAAAAAAAATATATAATTTTTATAATAAAAAGTATATTTTTTTGTCTTATCACAACAAATATAACTTCCAAAATTATTTACAAAAAGACACAACTTCTATTACTCCCTCCGTTCCAAAATAATGGTCTCTTTTGGAAAATTCAACTTTTTTGGTAGTATAATTATTACTCTTTAAAAAAGTTAATTTTTCAAAATTACCCTTTGATGGTACCATTTTTTAAAAATATCAATGTCATAATTGTACTTTTTATATTATTTATGAATTTTAAAAAAGGACAAACTAGGAAATTTATATTATTTTTGTACTTGATTTTGAAGAGAGACTAATATTTTGGGACAATAAAAAATGAAAAAAATGACTAATATTTTGGGACGGAGGGAGTATTCAAAACTTTACCATTAATAATTTTTATTAAAAAAAGTATAACTTTCATCATAAAAATTTAAAACGTTTACCATAGAAATCTTAATTTTTCTTATGATGTGCAAATGCACATTATAACATTTTGGGTAGAAGTTATATACACATGCACTTTTCAAATTTGGCACATTTTCTGAAACTTCAGAAGTACTACTACGATAAAATATTCTTGAATTCCAATACAACACAAAACACTACCTAAAAACCTTTGTTGCAAGGGATGCCAATTGCCCCATCACTCTATTTTAAGAGGATTTTTTTTGGGACTGATAGGATAGATGTCACGTGATACCTTCTACTATTATGATTGGATTTGACAGTAGGGTCATATATTTGTGTTAGGTGTTTGAGGAAAAGTAAGGGACATATATATCTGTAATTGGTAAAAGGTAATACCATGTGGTACCCTATTAGCACACAAAAATTCCTATTTTAATAGGAATGTTATGTACCTAAAACTAATATTTTAAACATTTTTTTTTTACAGCAACACTGATTATATTGAGTAAAATATTCTTTTTCATTATTTTTTCTTAACGAAAATAAATAAATGGTATAAATTGAAAACAAATAGAAAGATATGGGTATAAATTAACAAAATTAAAAACTTATAATTTATTTTGTTAGAAGACTCAAACTTGAGTTTATTTTATTTTATTTTTTAAATTTCAAGAGCATGGCGGGGTGTGATTGTTCTTCGGATGCTTCATTCAATTGAATTTTCAAATGATAAAAAAAAATGTCAAATATAACTACGAAAAATGTCATTAATATAAGTTTTATGACTACACCAGACAAAATTTATTGCTAGACAATATTTGTTGTTATGTCAGGTCTAGGAAGAGTTGTTACAAGAGTCCTGCTACAAACTCAGAAGTTTCTGTCCAGAATTTATGAATTTTTTACTTGTGATTCAAATTTACTCTAGATATGAACTTCACTAAACATTTATTCAATTTCCACTGTTCACATGGTGGTGTGTAAAAATCAATCCACTTAAGCTGTCGCGGTGATGCGGCGGAGATAACTCAATTTCTTACCTGAAAAATACTTAGATAAAGATCAAAGGCGGTGGCTGGAGTAGTCTGAGGACCCTCCGATGCCTAAGTTAGTGACAGAATCAGACAAAGGTACAGAATTATACTAGTGAGGTTTTGGTAGAAGTGTTTGTATACCTCTATTGTGTTGTTGGCTTCCTCTATTATTGCATGCTCCTACTAACCATTGTTAACCTAAAAACCTCTATTGTAAGGTGTAGACACCCCATTTTGACCGCCCGTAAGTCTTGGGCGCCTCACTTTGAACACTCAATGATGAAATGTTACGCTGTGCAAATGGTTCAATTTCTTCAGCAAAAGGCTTCGGTCTTGAGTTTCAAAACCTAAACTTTGCACCCCCTGTGGACCAAAACCTAATTTTTTTTCTAGCCTAAACACTTAGAGAAGAGTTGGCCAACGAGTGACCGGCAGGCCATTTTGGATTGGCCTACTGTCCCTCTTCATCGCCGGCAGGCTGGCCATGTTTAGCGTAATAGATATTTTGACAGCTGCCAACTGTCCCCACGCCCATGCCTTGCACCAACTATCTTATTATAGATATTCCAACGTGAGGGGATGTTTTTCTATAAATACATGACCTCCTCTCATGGTTTGGGGTTAGAAAATTTTTGCTAAGAGTCATAACTTGTCAAACACTCTTCCCTCCTCTCTCGCAATATACATACACCATAGATACACCTCCTAAGCCAAAACTTAAGGCTTTTTTGCTGAGATACTTGAACACAATTTCAACTCTTGAGAGTGTTCAACTTGTGGTTTGTGAACTAGAAGAGCATCCTCTCTTTTAAGAGGTATACCTTGAGCTTTTGTACCATCTTTTCTTTCTATTTTCTTTGCTTTTTCATACTATTTTTAGAGTGTTTTGAGACCTGAAATATGTGATTTGAGTCACAAAAAATAGGAGGGGTTAGCCACCTTTCCTTAGGCTTGTTGGTTGGTTGAAACCCCTTGGCTTTGGCCCCTTTTTTGCTTACTTTTTTCACCTCAAAAACCTGATTTTCAGTACTATTTTTGTGCTATTTTAGAGCCTTTTAGTGTGTTAAATTATGCTTTAAATACTGTAGATGTGTGGTTGTAAGTCTTCATGGATATAATTTTCAATCCATTTGAGTTGATAGTCTTTTCTTTTACTTTTTTTATAGCTTTCATACATGTTCATACCTTTGTTTCTTTGATTAAGAGTTGTACCAAATGAAAGATTATTGCTCAAAGCATAAGAAAGAGACCTCTCATACTAAATGGTTTAATCTCCTTGGAAGTTCATTACTAGGGCATTACATTTCTCTTATACTAAGTGTGATCTCTCGTTTGATACTTCTCTTTATTGCTGATGCATTACTTCTAAGGGACTAACTTTCTAGTTAGACCCTTGGAAATCACAAAGGAAAGTGTCATTATACCTTATTATCAAGTTTGGATTTGGAAATCATTATTGCTCATTTTGGGTTTGACTTGGAATTCATTATTGCTTGTAAATGAGTTTGATTCTTCCTTTGTAATTTCTTCCATAGAAAAAGGGTTTGAAAAGCTCATTTCTCGGGTTAAGTCATGCTTGTTATTTTTTATTGCTTTGGATGTAGTAGACGTAATCATCACATTTGGACAAAAATGAAGAAAAGATAAGAAATGGAAAGGTAATGTAAAAAAATGCTAATAAAAAGAGGTAAAAAAAGGTAATAAAATTAGGTTAGGTTCAATTGGACGTTATATTGAACATATTGTGTCTTGAATCATTGCATCCTTTTCGTGATGTTTAATGATTTATGAAGCAATGTCTACTCCTTCCCTTGAGGTAACTCCATGATAGGGAGGAGGTATTGCCTATATTTTGTTTAATTTATTGAGCTCTTGCCCTATCGTTTCTAAGATCATCACGCAAAAAATTTACGACAATTGATGATTTGAGAAACAAAACTACTCCTCCCTTGATTATCTTCATGATAGGGAAGGGCATAGAGGATAAACATCTCCTGGGAACACTCTGTTTTTGCTCTTTTTTAGCTCTGTGGCAGCAGGGTATCCTCCAGAAGCAGTGCTCGGCCGGCCATCATTCTGTACGGCCGACCACTTTTCAAGGCCTGCTAGTCACCTATTTTGTACAGGCAGTGGCATTTTCACAGCAGAACAGAGCAGAATTTGAGGCCAAAATAGAATAATTTTTTGACTGCAAACAGAGCAGATTCTGGTAGCCAACAGAGAGATTTCCGGGAGGATGTTCTCAGTTGTGCGCATGTGGGTCCTCGCCTTCCGTTCAAGTCCATTAAGTTAGTGCTTTAATATTAGTATGTTGTAATTAATTACTTGCTTTACTTTTATTGGGCTTCTAATAGATAATTAATTAGTCTAGTTTATTCATTTGAGTTTGTAATAATTAGTTTAATTAGGACATTCATTCGGACCTTCTTGTACAAGGGCACATTTGTAACGCTTGTAATATTTTGTATGTCTTCCAACCCCCATTTGTTTCTCCCTTTTATTTATATACTTACCGTGGTAACATCGTATTTTTCGTTTCATATCATTGCCATGCTTAATGTCCATCTTTTGCATGCATTGGGTTTGGTTCATCATTTTAACATTGCTATCATTTCCTACTTACTTGAATACGTGGGTTGCCGCATGCTTTGAGTTGATCCATATGACATGTTAAAATAAACCGAACCTTGCATTTTTCTAATTATTTTCTTCTCTTTGGCTTGCCTCGGTTGAGTACTAGGTGAGCATTTCTTGCTTGAGCATATTGCATGTGTATTTGTGTTGCCATATCAAGCATATTACCATGAAGCTAAGTGCTTATTTGATATACCTCTTTGAATGTCTGTGGATGAAGGCTATTTTGCTTAAGTTAGGATGACTTTGATTAATGTACATATGAGCTCAGTTTTTCAAATGGCACATATTCAGAACTCGTTTCAAATAAACACGAAATCAAAGCATTCCAAAGTGGATGACTTAGTCTATACTTGTGTGCTTCACATAGTAATGTTAGCATAATAATTAGAACATAAGCATATGCTATCCATAAAAATTACATCACGATTAGTAGAGGCCGATCTATGATCGGGTGAGTGGGGTACTCAATTCATAAC